AGACTAATAGACTAATTTTTTTTTTATTTATTTATTTTATTTATACAATACAAGAATAATAGCACAAGTAATCTACTAATGATTTTCAGAGTATATGCTACTATTTCACTACCGATGTACCTATTAACCTAACTGAAGTAGTTGCTGCATAAGTTTTTGAATGTTGTTAAACTTCTTGCTGTCTTGCATTCCCTTGGTAGTTCATTCCATAATCGAATCGAATGATAGCGAAACGATTCACTTTAAAAATGTGTGGAGCATCTTGGAATAATTAAAACACTTGACCTAGAAGATTGTGAGTTAATAAAGAAGTTTCGAAGATATATCGGACTTTCGTTTAAAATTTTAAAAGATTGAATACACATTCTAAGTTTCATGTAGCTGACGAAAGTGTAGTCGAGTAATAAATTAGAAAAGTTAGAAATGTGACCGAATTTCCGCAGGTCGTATACGTATCTGGTAATGGCATTAAATACCAAGTTTAATTTCTTTGTATTTGTCTTAGAAGTTAAGCTAAAGAGAATATCCCCGTACAAAAATAACGGAACTATCAAGGATCTACCCAGCTGAAGTTTTTTTTTTAACTCTTTATTTGTTCCAAATTCAAAATAAACTACATTTCATTTTAACCTAGGTGCTCCAGTTACTACAGCAACTGACCAGCCTTAATTGTTATGATATATATCTAAGTGTTTTTATATTGTTCCTGCCTTGGCAATTCAGTTTTTTAAACCTGCATGTCAGTATAACAATTGAACCCAGCTGAAGTCTGATATGTTGAGGCGTGGAGTGACGTAACAAAACTAGGGAGTGAAGCGTACAATAAACTTTGCTGCACACAGCATTGACTTGAGCATTCCAGTTGAGGTTGTAATCCATTACAACACCAAGATTTTATTGAGTCAGAATACATAATGATATCACCACCCACTTTAACTAATGGGATATCCTGAATACCAGTTCGTTTTGATCTAAAAATAATAGTTTGTGTATTTGCCCTGTTCAACATAAGACCATTAGTTTCACACCATTTTAAGATATTTTCTATATCACTATTTAATAATGATATACACACTTAGAAATGACTAATTTCACACATGACGGAATTCGTCTTTGACATAAAAGATGAGACGTAAACAAACATATCATGTAAAATTAAGTGCTCCGAGACTGAAAAGTTCGTTGCTCGACCAAAAGGACGTTTGATTGAACTATATTTCGCGTCTGTTATGACTCAAATTTATGTCAAAATTGACGCTCGTATATGTCACTCTCAGAGCACCTAAATTTACATGATTTTTTCTAAGTGTGTAGTTTCAGAAATATTATTAAATTTGCCAGAGATGTACAGTTGACAGTCATCTGCATATAAGTGAAATTTACAATTTAATAAAACGTTGGGCATATCATTGATGAACATAGAAAAAAGTAGGGGTCCCAGGATGGATCCCTGAGGAACCCTTTTCAGAACATACACGTAATTGGATTGCATGTTAATAAATTCAACATGCTGTGATCGGCCAGCCAAGTATGATTCCATTAAATTCACTGAGGAATGACCAATTTTAAAACAACTAGCGCGTTCATTGCAGTGTTTCCGATGATCAATTGAATCAAAAGTTTAGCTGAAATCTAAGAGCGCCATCACGGTTAACATTTTCTTATCAAGAGCATTTCTTAAATCATCTTCAATTTTTATATGAGCTGTAATCGTGCTGCAGTTCTTACGATAACCAGATTGTAAAGAACATAGCAGATTATGATTATTAAGATATTCGTTTAGTTGTTTGGATAGAATTGATTCAAAAAATTTCGACAGAGCACAAAGTATGCTAATAGGTTGATAATCGATAATCGATAATCGATAATCTTAGCCACTTTCCATGAACATGAAAATCCTGAAGTGGTTATACAATAATTAAATAAGTCTGTGATGTAAGGTAGAGTGACACGTAAAGACACTTTCAAAATATTTAGAGGAATGAGATCAGTACCCACAGAATCACATGAAGCAGACGCAAACTCTTCCAAAATATCGTTACTAGTAATACCTCTGAATAAAAAAATAGCAGAAAGTTCATCAACTTGCTCAGTTTCTATAAACGATGATGGGGCAAAATGTGAAACAAAATAATAATTCAATGAATCAGCAGTAACATCACCACCACCAACATTCATATTTGAACCTTTTAACCCGAGTCGCTTAATATTATTCCAAAGTTTTTTAGCAGGAAGAAATGTACTAAGTTGGAAAGCAAAATATTTAAGTTTAGTGTTTTTAACCGTACGGTTAGTTATGTTGCGTAGCTTATCAAAATTGTGCCATTTTTTAGGATTTTTTTTTATCGCGTTTCCAACGATTTTTGAACATCCTGTGGACATGTTGGTTAAGCCATGGAGTTGAAGGGTCTTTTACCAGTTTTATGGTTAAAGGCGCATAACGGTTCATGTGGGACAATAGTGCATAATTCAGGTAATTCAATTGGTCATTTACATCACAATAAGAATAGATAGCATCCATATTAAATTCTTGTAAATCCCGTATAAAGGAATCGTGGTTAATGTTATTGTAATCGCGATGAAAATAGGGTTCGGGTGTAGTTTTTGAGTTTTTGAATTTATAGTCAATACATATTAAATCGTGGTCACTAATACCGCCAACAGAAGGCTGGTAGGTATTATTTATATTGGATGTACAATTTCCTGCAATAAAATCAATAAGAGACGGGGTGCTTCAGGGTAGATGGCGTGTAGGTGACGGAATTCACATATAAAATATTTACGTTAAAATCACCCATTAAGGCACAACATTAGGTCCAGTAGCCAGTGTTTCTTAGATGTATTCAAAAACCGTTTTCATTTTGTTCAGGTTTACATCGAGTGGTTTGTAAACAATTCTGAGAACCGAATATTTTTCTTCAAGTAGGAAGCAACGCCATTTCCGGTCGGATCGTATTATTCTATAACCCCGCAGTTCAACGGATTTGTTGGTGACAGAAGGTTTGAGCCATGTTTCAACTAAACCCAAAACATTCCATTCTGACTGTTCGAACAGTAGTCTATAATTGTCTACGTAACTACAGAGGCTGCGAGCATTATGCAAAGCAAGCTTCATAAAGTTTATCGAAAGTTTTGAAATTATAGTTTTGATATCCCCATAGTTTAAATGGTGTAGTTTTACGGTCAGTTCAAAAATTGAATCAACAGGAAATGGAATAGTAGAACTAGGAAAATGGCAAGAGTTAATAGGTACATCGGTATTCATTACTTTCATGCAGGGTTACTTCAACTCACTTGCTATAAAAAAATGTTTTTCGGAATAATGAAATCATGAGATGGTATAATGATAATTAGTACTTGTAAGTAACACGAAGAGGTCGTGAAGTATATGTTTGACACATAATATCTGTCAATATTGCTGTCAGAGGGTCACAATCAGCGATTTTACGACTCGTGAGCGCTCACTCTGAGTGAACGCTCACGAATCATAAGATCGCTGATTGTGACGCTCTAAAAGCGAAATTGACAGGTTTTATTAGTCAAACACATACTTTTCATTCTCTTCTTGTTACTTACAAGCACAACATATCATTATATTATCTAATGATTGCATAATTCCGAAAAATATTTTTTTATAGCAAGTGAGTCGAAGCAACCCTGCTTTCATGGCGGTTTGGTGGAGATCTGGACTTTGTCGTTTTTTGGACAGAATTCCCTAACTTCTACTCCCTCTGGCAAGTAGAAAGCGTCACCGACGATAGAAGCCAAATCGTCAGATACGGAGAGCTTGAACGATACGAATGCACATTCTACGATGTTTTTGTTGCGGAGCACTAATCATAGACGGATATAATTATATCCATGCAGCATAAAAACACATGAATTACACATATTTTTTTGTTATTTCCCTCTGACAAAAGTAAAAATTAGCATTGGTCTTATTGCAAAATTAAGAATTGGAAAACCAACCCACAACTATCGACGTTATAGTTATTATGGTGGCACAAATCACATGCTGACGATTCAAATTTCGCCATAAAATTCATTCCTTCATTCCATGCTACCACGCCATGAACCCGTCCATGGTCCCTACTCTAATTCCGCACACAACCGCGCAAAACTCACAACAATGCAAAACTTCCTCCCTCCACGTTTCGTCCACGCCCGTTCTTCTTCCACAATTCTGCGCATAGATCTGTATGTATTTGTATGCACCTCACGCTGCCGTTGAAATTCCATCGTTATTACCTGCGGAAAACCCCCAACGATATGCACAGTGCCCAGCAAGCAACCTGTCGCTTAGGTCAGTTTTGCCTCTCAGCCGATTTCCAATGGTACACATGCGTAGCACGAATACCATAAAAATGAATTGAACTTGTACCCAGGGCCCTGAAACCAGCTACGACGACTATGAACATTCCCTGGTTGCCTCGTCTGTGTGTGATGAACGTTACTTATAACCGACGCGTTTGTAACGAAAAGAAAGCGTAATGTAGCTGAAAGCGTATGGGAGGAAAACTGGTTTTACAACTAAGACTGTATTGCGGTATCGATTAGGGTGATCAGAAACGCTACATGCACCCTAAAGTATAGAAATATAGTGGCGTTGCATGGAAAAGGTATGAAATGGATAATTTCTTCGTAAGATTCCTTGTAATGGCCGCCATGATGGCTGATATGCCCTATCACTTCATGATTTCAAGAGCACAAATCTCGGACACAGTTTTGACAGCGCTCATGAAATTCGAACTCGCTGTTTGCTAAACTGCAGCAAACATGAAGTTTCACTTTCATCGTTGTATGTTTTGTGGGAGCTTATATTTGTGCTCTTGAAATTTCGAAGTGACAGTGAGATCAATCGGATACAAGATTTTCACGGCGATTCACCTTAAACCTCTCAGATATGGAAACCCTACCGCTGGATTCACTTGTATGGGTGGCCCCATGGTGGATAAAGTGTGAAGAACAAAAAACTGCTTTCGGGCTGAACGATCGTTGAAGCATCAACAATATACACAGTTCCTTCACGATCGAAGACCTGTTTGGACGGTTTCGCGAATTGGAAACTCCCTTCGAGAGACGGAATCTATCTTTAATTTGAACTTAGATTTTGTCCCTCTCGCTTTTTATATATAAAGTCCCCATCCTTTTTCCGCCGTATTTTTTTCTCGCATTCGAAGAGATATACACGACTTTTGTCGGTCGTTATATTTTTCTCATTGCTACCGTTTTACACTCGCGCGCCACCGAACAAAAATTTCGAATATCGTGAATCGTGAGTTTTTTTGATTGTGAAATCTAAATTTGTCCCCGGTATTATATAAAAATTTAATTTAATTTAAGTGCAAGATCGTCCGCGACCACGGTGCTCGTGTGGCTGGCTCATTAGAACTCCTAAGTTTGCAGCAGCAGCACAAGGGAATAGAGTTGTTCGTGGCCTTCGAGACCCCGTGTGTGTGCTATGCTGCGGGGATAGAGTTGAAGCCCTTCGACGAGCCTAACAGCGTAACCTACGGCGTATATGCGTTCGTGTTGAGAACAGGGTTGATTGGAAGATTCTCTTTCGGTTGCAACTTGTTTGTTGAATAAAAAGAAAAAAGCGAAAAAAACGTGCATCGAAATGTCCAAACCAAAGTCTCCGACAACCCACCTGAGCCCGGAGGCCGAACAAGAAGCCTTCTTCGTGAGAAGCAAACCAGATCCGATTCCGTTCAGCAAGTTCCTGTTCAATTCCAATGAAGGAACCGTCCTCGGCCGTACGGCCATGTCATGGGGTAAGCGTTTTTTTAACATCTATAAACTGTGTGTTACTGGTGAATCGTGCCTAGATGTTTGTTCACTACAGAAGCAATGTATTAGCGGGTGAATCACTTGTTCTGCTCTCTAGAATCTGAGACGATAACTGGGAGGGGGTGAAGAGAACAAAGACAAAATAATATCTGTGGTGCATCAATTTAGAATCTGAGTTCGGGATTTTAACTGGAAATGATGAGTATTCAGTTTTTGGTTCAACATTTTCCCGACTAGTACGTTGCAACTGGATTTATTTCAACTTAGTATTCTTTAACCAGCTTCATAGTGGTTCACTGAGCCTTTACCGTTTTTAAATTCAGGTATAGAGTGACACAATATATCAGGAAAATCGAGGAGGATTCCATGAATAGTTCTATGGTAAATTCAGAACTGTTACAACAAGCGCAAATTTCGCTGATTGCGCGATTTTTGTGTGTTTGTCTCGGATTTGAACTTTCAATCGTTCAGTTTTACCAAGTTTTACATTATTGATATCAAAATATTTGAAGTATCATTACCAATACAGATACTTTCTTTTTAAACTTTTATATTGGAATTGATATCTAGAAAAACTGTATTTAAATGAAATACAATATTGCAATTGAAATCTGCAAAATGCGTGGCGATGCTACAATCAAGCTCACTTCAGGGCAACGGGACAGGCATGCTATGTCACAGCATCGACACACATTTTAACATAACGTTATGTCAAAGTAAACCAAACTGCTGTTGAAAACTTTTAACAAATCAGTAAGTTTCAGAACAAAAAAAAACCAACTCAAATCTTGCCGTCAATATTATTGATGTATCTCTGTTGTTTATCAATCAATATTATTTGAAATTATCGTGGTTTCTTGTGCTTTCGTCATCTTCTATTATTTATTAAATTACTAGGTTAAAACAAAGTTTAAGAAACAGTTGAGCTGGTTCTCTACTCATCTAGCAAAATAAAATAATCCTGAGTTTTGCAAGTTATTTTTTCAGAACTGTTCGGATTAGACAACTGCCTTTTTATAAACATGAAAATTGTTTATAAGAAGGCAGTTTTCTAATTGCGTTCAAGGATATATTATTTTGGTAAAACAAATTTATTTCCACACACGTTTTTCAATCAGAACAATCAAAGGTTGAAGTTTACATTTACTTAAGTTTAGGATCTCATGATCTATTGGAAGTTTGGAACTCTAAGTCCAAGACCAAGAAACTTTTTAAAGTTTCAAAATCCCACATATTTGAAGATGCTAATTTCAAATAACAGACTAAAGTGGTAATTTTTTACTATAGATGAGAAAATGAAAGTATAGAGTTGATAGTTCCGTTATGCAGATTATGCACGAGTACGGATTTCCGGATAAACTGACGCGATTGGTCAAGGCGACGATGGATCGAGTGATGTGCATTGTTCGAGTATCGGGGACACTCTCGAGTCCCATTGAATCTCGAAGGGGGTTACGCCAAGGTGATGGACTTTCGGGTCTGCTATTCAACATCGCGTTGAAAAGTGTAATCAGAAGAGCTGGGATAGACACGAGTGGCACGATCTTCAGGAAGTCCATCCAGCTACTTGGCTTCGCCGATGACATTGACATTATGGCACGGAACTTTGAGATGATGGCGGAAACGTACATCAGACTGAAAACTGAAGCTAGGCGGATTGGACTTGCCATCAACGCATCAAAGACAAAATACATGAAAGGAAGAGGTTCTAGGGAAGACAATGTTAGCCTCCCACCCCGAGTTCAGATTGCCGGTGACGAAATCAAGGTGGTCGATGAGTTCGTGTATTTGGGCTCACTGATGACCGCCGAAAATGATACCAGCAGAGAAATTCAAAGACGCATTATGGCAGGGAATCGTGCCTCCTTTGGACTCCGGAGGACGCTCCGGTCGAACAAAATTCGTCGCCGCACGAAGTTGGCTGTCTACAAGACGCTAATTAGACCGGTGGTCCTCTACGGCCACGAGACCTGGACTATGTTCGTGGAGGACCAACGCGCCCTTGGTGTTTTCGAACGGAAGGTGTTGCGATCATCTACGGTGGAGTGGAGATGGATGACGGAACGTGGAGGAGGTGAATGAACCACGAATTGCACTAGCTGCTGGGAGAACCATCCATCGTCCACATAGCAAAAATTGAGCGACTACGGAGGGCAGTGAAAATCGTTCTAGAAAGCGACTCAACAGGAACAAGAAGAAGAGGCGTGCAGCGGGCAAGGTGGATCGACCAAATAGAAGGTGACCTGCGGACCCTTCGCAGACTACGATCGAATTGAGTGGAGACGACTTATTCGGATAGCAATGGACAACAAGCCCTTAGCCTGATTGGTACGGTAAAGTATGATAGTTCCGTTAGAGTACGGCAGTGTGAAAATTGTATATAGAGAGTACAAAGCGACCCGTGTCCCCTCGAGATAGTCAAGTCGACGATGACAGGAATACATACCGTAGTAGACGTAACAATAGCTGCAATTTCCAAAATCTACGACTGGATGGCTTCCTTCAGATAACAACTTGAGTGCGGCACAATCGATAGATCTGTTTCAAACACATCGTCGGTACTTGATCATCTCTTTTTGCCAGTGGTGGCAGAGGGGAGGGGGATACCCCTCACCATCCCTCTCCAACGGGGGAGTTTGGTAAAGAGAGAAGATCAAACCGATTTGTACCTTACTAAAAAGTTGTCCTTGCTCGCTTTCTACGCTCTATATACAATTTTCACACTGCCGTACTCTAACGGAATTATCAACTCTATACTTTCATCTCCTGATCTATCGTATAAAAATTACCACTATAGTCTGTTATTTTAAATTAGCATCTTCAGCTATATTTTTGCTAGTTTTGGAACTTGAAAACTTCTCACGTTACCCATTATTCTCCCTAGTTTCCCTTCTATGTGCAGAATATTAAATTTTAAATAAAACACCCTGAACCTTGAAGATTTGCCAGGATCATATAATTTTCTACGCATGAAATTAAAAAAAAAAATAAGCCTCAGAATTTCGATTTTTCTCAAACCTTGAATTTTGATCATTTTTCTGTGTCCAGGATCTTGAAATGTTAAATAGAATAATTGAATTCTCTAGAAAACTTTGTGAACAATCTCTGAATTCACTCTGTACTGCTCATCACATTATCATTAATTCTAACAATTCCCGAAAAATTCTTCTGAAAAAAATTGCTTGTAGTTCTTCTCAGCATGCACTTAGTATTCTCCTGAAATTCCCGTGGAAATTCCTTTTTAATTCCACGCACAATTTCCTATTAATTTTTTGAAGTGCTCATAATTTCCTTGAAATTCTCTTGAATTTTCTAAAAAAAAAATATCACCGGAATATCCTTGAAATACTCCTCAGAAATTTTACTGAAAATGTTGTTGAAACCAGGGTGCCTTCCATTCATTTTGACTATACAACTGGATAATAAGATGATAATATCTGTATGTGCAACAAGTTGCACTAATTTTGGATGTAATTTCAGATCATACGATCAAAACTACAGACGATAAAAAAAATCGGAAAAAAAAATTCCGGAAAAATGTAGACATTACATTGAAATTTCAAGCATATTCAAGCAAACTTTTTTCAAAATCTGTCGTCATTTCTAAGAAAATCGGCTATAAACTTTTGCAATGAAAATTGTTTCTTATAAATTTGAAATTCGTCACAATTTCGAGTAAAATACTATAGCTTATAAAAAAAGGAAAACTTTCATAAATGTGATAACATTTGAACTGGCATTTATCACAACTAATAACGAAATTGGTCACAACTGTAAACAATGTTTGCCCATTCTTCAATAAAATGTTCAGAATTTTTAAAAGGAATTGACAAGAAACATTTAACAACATTCAACGAAATTTTTCTCCAAGATCGACGGAAAACAAATCAAGGAGAATAATGAGCATTGCTCTTTGTCAGAAACTGATGGCTTTCCTGTGGGTACCTGAAACATTTTCGGATGTCGCCAGTAGACGATGCAAAATTTGAAATTTTTGCTCCACAGTGCTCAAATAGTTTCAAAACGGGTCCTGATTAGCTTCCCTAAATTTGAACTCATTTGGTAAGAAACTGACTTGGCACACACCATTACTGTGAGAAAACCTATCTTATTGTTCATTGTCTTCTAGTCTTTTTCCATATTGCACTATTGAAAAGTTCTATAACGATTATTATGGTAAATTGTCCCAGCTACAACTTTGTAGACGACCGGACCATATCTTTAAATTCTCAAGGTGTCACAGGATAAGTTTAGGTTCTAGTCAGAAACTGTCCACTTCCCTGAAGGCACACAATGACTAGCATTGATCTTGTTTTTGAATATGCTCATATGATATCAGGTGACGCATGACTTCCCAGGGGGATGTTTCCAATGTAATCCTGAGCATTTCGTATAACTGCCGTTGAACTTTTATTTGAATTGTTTAGTGATTTGATGTGTTGCATTAAAAGTGTTGGTACAACGGCGCCGGTGGTGTAGTGGTAAGCGTGATTACCTCTCACCCCAGCAGGCCTGGGTTCAATCCCAGTCGGCGCCGCCGGGATGTTCTGAGGCATAACATCTCTGATCACGCCTTCCTTCGGATGGGAAGTAAAGCCGTTGGTCCCCGGTTGAGTTGATGGGTCGATAGGTAGAGTCCAGGTGTGGGAGCTGCCTTCCTGGCACGTCGGTAGCATTGGTGCTCAGCACGGAAAACAAGATCGACGGAAAAAACAAACCGAGGAAAAAAAAAGTGTTGGTCTAAGTCAGATACTGGCCTCTCCTATGGAGGCAACCGGAACATGTCCGGATGTGACTTATGCACCCAATGATCCAGTTGTTGTATGTTTATGTGATCTGATGTGTCCCATGAATTTATTAGGCTCAGACCTAGCTACCTACTAAACGGATTTAGTGACATTATGTTTCGTATCTCCGAGAAAAGTGTTTTAATACATCTTTCTTAATTGCTTCTCCTTGATAGATATGCGTATTTCGTCTACCA